GCTTGCCTAGAATACTGTGGAACACACAGTCCAGCTCTCAGCCCCCCACCCGATTCCTGAGATGTTTCAGAGGGGATAAATGTTTCTGATGTGTTCTGGTGACACTCTATTTATATTTGATTTTTAAAAATTCACCCTGTCTTTCAACCTCACAATGAACTTATTTATTAGATTTATATCCCTCACGTTTTCCTTTAAAGACCTCAAAGTGGCTTACATCATTCTCCTCTTCCTGCTCTTAATCTTATCCCTGCAACAACAGCCCTGCGAGGTAGGTTGGGCTGGGAGTCTGACTGGCCTAAAGTCTCCCAGTTGGCTCCATGGCTGAGGGGGGCTTGAACCCAGGATGCCTGAGTCCCTGTCCTATGCTCTTCACCGCTACACCACAAAATGTTTGTGGTGGCCCTCCTGATGTTTGTGGACAACACTCCCCATCAGTCCCAGCCACTGCTGAGGGATCATGTGACCTGGAGGTCAGAACACCTGGTGGGCTGCAAGGTGCCCACCCCTGTTGCAGTGGAAGCTTGGCTGGGAGAGCGTGGCAGGCCCAAAGCCCCCGAGGGCCACAGGCGGCCATGCTGCGGTCTGAGGGGGGAGCGCCTGGCCTGGGCCGCAAGCCTGGAGCCAAGTGTGGGCAGCGCTTTGCTGGAGCGCCTCTTGCTGCCCTGCAAGCCCCGGAGGCCATTTGAGCAAGTCTCAGAGGGAGCAAGAACGGCTGGGCCGTCCAGGCGAGGCCAAGGGGGGGCTTCCTTCCTCCCAGCCCCGCGGCAATGTGGGAAGTTTGCCCCATTTTGCAGCGCCCTCTGCAGCACCAGTGAATCGCCCGGGGCGCAGGGCGAGAGGATCGCCGCAGTGTCTGATCAAAGCTGTGAAATGCGGAGACGTCAGTTTTCAGCTCAGTATGGATAACCGTCCGTCTTTTATTCAGTCATAAATCTTGGCAGAGAGCGAGCGAGCATAATGGGAGCACCTGCCCTGGGGGCTGCAGGCCCTTCTCCAACACTAGAGGCCTTCGGGAGGCAGCTGGGTAGCCATCTGAGAAAGATGATTTCACCCAATGTCCTGCACTAAGCAGTGGGCTCTCTGGCCCCTGTGATTCTGTAATAATAGCTTTCTCAGCTATAACTTTGGCTACTTGGCAGTATAGAAATAATTGAAACATTTATTTTTAAAATTAAATTAAATTAATTAATTTATTAAAAGCTTTTGTATGCCATCCTATTCAAAATCTCAGGAATGTTGCCTCCTTCCACTTTAAGACAAGGTTTTTTTTTTTGCACTGTTTATTTTTTTAAATGTCTGTTTGTTTGTATGGGGTGACCTGGAGGGGGTACTAATCATTAGATTGCATTTGAGATGTTTTCAGTGAGAAATTTCCCAGCTTTGTCTCCTGCAAAATTAAAAAACTCCACAAAATTATTTCCAGTTTTTCATGTATAAATAAAAATAAAAACAAGTCCAAGCAGGTTTTGTGCAGATTTGTGCCCTATGGCCCTTGGCCTCAACTCTTTCCAGGGCCTTGGAACACTCCTGGTGGGGGTCCTTGCCGAGAAGGGTGACGGCCAGGTTGCCACCAGGTGCTAATCCACAGCTGAGCTTTGCCACTCCTGGCAGCTCCTCCAATGCCTCCAGTAATCAAGCTGCTCTGTATTGGAAGACGAACGTGACTAGGTAAACTCAATCATGGCTTTATCTGCTGAGAAAAAGACCTTGAATGTGGCTTTGCAACTAAGCAGCCAGGGCAGAACTAACACAGGAGCAGTATGTGTGTGCAGGTGTCGAGATCCGAGACAGCTTCAGGGCTCCCCCTGCTGGCAGTCCTGGTGGTTGCAGGATTACTGCCCCAGTCTCCTGCAGTTGCCAGGGCCCTTGTGAGCACCACCTGCAAGCCCCGGGGAAGAAGCTATACAAGAACTGGCTCTCCCCTCCAGAAGTTGCTTTGGGAATGGTGGTCTTCTGACTTGCTGGAGTGTTCTGTGTTTGTTGGACGCTGTTCCTGGAATCTGCTTGTGATCCTGCTCCTGGCCTCTGCTGGGCTTCCTGCTCCTTGCCTGCTCCTTCTCCTGCTCCTGCCCTCAGATACCAGCTCCCCTTGGCATTGTCTCCTTGGTTTCGTGACTCCTGGCTTGTTTGACCACACTTGTCGCTTGGACTGACTCTGCCTTGCTCTCCTACTCCTGGCATTGACTCTGGGCTGCTTGAGTATGATTTAGATTGTACCTTATTGATTTATTTATACATGTATATAGGCTGCCTATAACTGCTGAAGCCTTCCTAGGTGGCTTAAACTACACAAAACATATTAACAAAATAGAACACATTAAAGCAAAAGGAATTAAAACAGGGGTCTGAAACTCACCAGCTGAATTTTCCTAGGGAGGGAGTTCCAAAGATGGGGAGCAGCAGTGGAAAAGGCCCTTCTCCTAGTTGCCACCCCTCTCATCTCCCTGAGGGGTGGTCCTCACAGAAGGTCCTCCTGAACTGAACTAAGCGGGGTAGGTATATATGGGTGCAGACGGTCCTTTAGATAGCTGGTCTCCAAGCCGTTTAGGGCTTTACATGCCAATGCAAGCACCTTGAATTGGGCCCAGGCCACAACTGGTGGCCAGTGAAGTTCCTTCAGAGCTTGTGTTATATGGGCCACCACGTCCTGCATGCCGACACCAGGCAGGGGTGTGGGCGAAAACCAATTTGTGCTGGGGATGCATTGCATTTCCTCAGCTTGGCTCCCCAGGACTTTCTCTATCTGCCTCATGCCAGGCATTTGTGCGAGAAGCGAGTTCAAGCAGAGTGCAGCTTCCGCACATGTGACATGTAGACTTCACATACTTTGCGCAAGGAATCATGTAATTTTCCTAGTTTCCACAAGGAGTTATACCCTTCGCATATTTTGAGCAAAGAACTCTGCATACTCTGCAAGAAGACGCCACTCGTGTTCCAAGCGCTGGCCAACTCGCTCTCAGTGTGGCTTGCTTCCTAGCCGGGGCTGAGCATGGAAAAGATGTCGGGCGAGCATAAGAGAGCTGGGTTCTGGCCCAATCTTTGCCTCCTGGTGGCCAGGGCACCACTCAGCATCCTGGCCACCACATCCTGCAGTAGCAGCAGCTTTCAGTCTAAGTGCAGAGGAGTTTCTGCAGAAAGAGTGTAGCGGTCAAAAGAGCACAAAATGGCCACCTGTACAGACTGCTGGGGTTGGTCTCTTCCTGCCCAGAAAAAGTTCTACATGGCATTCCAGCCAAGTACCACAAGAAGCGCCTTTCCATGGAGGGTGCTGGGACACTTAGCAGCTCCGCACTTAACAGTTGCTGTTTCACGGGCCCAAGGGTTGCCAGGGGATCAGCACGAACGAGGATCGGGCAAAAGACAGAGGAGACCAGTGCGGTCAAGGGCCCAGGCAACCAGCTTCCGTGGTGCCACCAGGTCTTGTCCCACAGTCTTTATTCCAGGGGACAGTCACAGAATCAGTCAAGGCAGCCTGGGTTGAGGAAGGCCTGTTACCTTTTACATTGCTTGGTACTCCTAAGTGATGGCCAAGGAGGTGCTTTAAACCAATGCTTCCACAAGATGATGTGCATAGGCCGGACCACCAGCAGCTTGTTCTTCCTGTGAGGAAGATGGGGTGGTGGTGAGCAACCTGGCGGTGTCCTCCCCTCAGCACCATGCTCCTCAACCTCTGCATGGAGGGGCGCCCTACTGCTGTGCAAATCCTTCTTTACTTGTGGGTGATGTAGAGCCCTTATTTCCCAAGGTTCTAAGTCGGTGCAAAGACTCCACCAGTGATTCCAAGCATTTGAAGACTTGATTTCACTTCAGTTCTCTTCCTGGCTGGGTTCAAGTAGGGGAAAAAGTCCAGAGAGTGCAAGGGAGCTGGAATCCAACCTGATCTTTGCCTCCACAGTTCTAAATCTCGTGGAGAGTGGAGCCCTCCTGCTGCAGAGATACCTGTGGAAGGTGATGCAAATCATGATGGAGGGGAATCAGTTTGCATGCTCACCTTCGCTCCCTCTACTCGCAGAAAGAACTGCATCCATGAGTTGCACATGGACTATCCTTCCCTCTGTCACTGTCACTGTCTTCACTGGCTTATTGAGTAGAACAGCCTTCTTCTACCTGAGGATCTCCAGATGTTTTGGACTTCAGTGCAGATCAGCTTCAATCGGCACGGCTTATTGCTTCTGGTTGCTTGTCTCTCCTCAACAGACATCTCAGCTTTGGTTCTGTCGCACTCATTCCTCCCCTACTGCCGTTCTCAAAGTCTTGCATTTCTCACAGTTTCAGAAACACCTTGACTTTCCACTCCCTCCTCCCTTACCTCTAACTCAACAGACCTTGGTTCTTCATCCTCCGCTTCCTCTCTTCCTCTTCATTTGAGTCAGAATCTATCCCCGTGCACCTTTGAGGGACTAGTGTGCCCAAGCCTCACAAGGTCAACTAACAGACACTACCAGTTCCCAGATTCTCCAAAGCCCATGGCTGCTGAAAACCTCATCAGCATATGTTTAGTGCACCCTATCCCTACTGGATGCCCTCCAGCTGTGCTGGACTACAAGTTTCATCATCCCCATCCAGTGGGCCCAATGAGTTGTGTAGAGAGGCCATAGGATCATGCCCCTACAGGCTGTTTTCCACCCATGAAGCACTTATGGATGTCTGTGCTCTTACAGCTTCCCTAAGAGGAGTATTGGCTAGATCCAGTTATTTACAGGGTTGCCAGTCAGTTGCAAAGTTCAGACTGCACTTTTCCTTTTGGCTTGGGGTCCCTTTTTTGTCTGCAGCCATAAAGAATACAATGCAACTCTTGTTAGCATGCCATGAAGGATTCTCTCTTTTGAATCGCATGACTGGATGCACATTCACTTTGTAAGATTTCTGTGGAATAGCTGAACGAAATGTGTTTTGCTGTGGAACTTCACTACTGAACTGCCACATCCCACCTGGTTGCTCTGCCCATTCGGTGGACAGATGCTTCAGCTTTATTTCTAATTCCTCACCAAGGAACAATGAGTTTTGAGGACCTCCTGCAGGAAGTAGGTGGATTTGGGAAATACCAGGTACTGGTGGTGTTGATGCTTTGTCTGCCCAGACTAGTTATTCCCATGCACTTTCTGCTGCACAATTTTATCTCCGCCTCTCCACCCCACCACTGTGCCATTCCAGACTTTGCTGGCATTTCCAATATCAGCCAAGAGGAGATTTTCCGCACTGTCCTCCCAAGAGACCCCGATGGGGGGCTGAGCCCCTGCAAGGTGTTTTCGAGTCCTTGGTCTCACTCGCTGGTCAACTCTTCCTGGGAGCTGCATGATGCTTCATCTACCCAGAGCTGCTGGCAGGGATGGGTGTACGATGCCACTCAGTACGTCTCGACCACCGCCACCGAGGTAAGTGCTGCAGGTGCTTCCGCCAGCCCAGGCTGTTTGCTGGAGCTTGGGAGGCAAAGGGAGGAGGGATGCCGTCTCGACGAGTGGGAAGCCTGCCGCTCGATCGGCACCGTCAGAACAATTCTTGCTTTATTTTTCCGTAGGAGACGATTGGTGGCTTGGTTGTAATGTTTGATGTTCGGGTGCTTGTCGGGGTGGTTCCCCGAGCAGAGCCTGAAAATCCAGGCGGCAGGCCCATCCGCACCACCAAGCCTGTGCCAGGAGCTGTGAGCTCCGCCAGAAGCGCTGCCTTCGCAAGGCTTCATTGCCCACTCCAGCCAGTCCAAAATTCTTTGGGTGACCAGAGGGAGCAATACAGTGTGGTTGGGAAAATTCATCTCCCTGACCCCCAGATAATGTGCAACCCCTCTCATGGCTTGGAGGATTCTGAGCTGTTAAACGGAAGGAAAAACAAAGACCCCAGACCAGGGGTCTCTCCTGCCCAGCAGCCTGTTTGCACAGTCACCAACCACCTGCTCATGGGAAACCCACAAACAGGACATGGATGCAACAGCACCCTCTTGCCCATGCTCCCCAGCAATTGGTGTACATAAGCATTTTGCCTCTGCTGCTGCAGGCATCATGTCAAGCCTCCAGGCCAGTCGCTGATGGTGGCCTTTTCCGTGGATGCGTCCAGTCCTCTCTTAAAGCCATCCAAACCGGTGGCCAGGCCTGCATCTTGCGGAGAGGAATCCTATTGCTTAGCCAATCAGGTTCAGGGGCAGCAGATGATGCCAGGGCCCCTGCAAGTCAAAGATGCTGGGGATGCAGTCCTGTGAGCCCCACATCCCCTATGCCACTGGAGACAGCGGGGAAAGCCTAGGGGTGGCCCAAACGATTGTCCCATGGCTGGACGCTGTCAGTTGGCTATCTGCTAAGTATCCTGAAAGCAGAAGTCTCTGATGACTCAAGGCAGTTCACTATTTCTGCAAGTTCCCGCCTGTGATCCTCTGTCAATGTCACTTCAGGGGGATCGTCACTTATCAGAGAAAATGCCTACTTCCTTCCAGTTTCTCAAAACTATTTGCATTTGAGCACAAAGTTGCAGAGGCACCAGGTGGTTTTTGTGCTTCAGGAAGCCGTAGTCACTGTCTTGCCTCCATTGTGTTAAGGCCGCCTTCTTGGGTGTTCAAATTTAGCATCCTCATTCAGGAATTGCAGCCTGTTTAATAAAGAGGAAATAACCAGGGCTGATTGTGAGCTGGAATGAACAGGAGGGGGTTAGAGAATTGGGGGTAAAATAACAGAATCAAATTTAACAGAGACAACTGCAAAGTTTGTTATTTGGGAAAAACTAAATCAAATGCACAGGTATAAGATGGGGAATATCTGGTTTCGTAAATAGTATGTGTGAACAGGGTCTTGGAGTTGGAATCAATCTCAAATTGAATGTGAATTATATAATCTGATGCTGCTATGAAAATGGCAAACATAATTTGAGGTGTGCATCCAAAGAAATATAGTTTCAGAATCATGGGGAGTGATACTTTTCACTTGACTCTGCTAGTCAGATCACTTCTTGAAAGTTATGCTCATTTCTGGACCTTGAACTTTAAGAAAGATGTTGAGAAATTGAATCAAGTTCAGGAACAGGAAATGTAAATAATCAGGAGACAAGGAACAAAGGGCTATGAGGAAAGATGGAACCAGGTATGATTTGCTTTGAGAAACACAGAGTGTGGTGGTATCTCCACCTTTCAAAGTGCATTGAGGACTGTCATGCAGAAGAGGTCTGCAGTCTGCTCTCTGTTATCCAGGACCGTGAGACAGGAAATAAGGAAGTTTTGGGTTGAGCATCAGGAAGAGCTCCCTACAGATCAGAACAGTCGGACCACCAAACCAGGTGCCCAGGGAGGCTGTGCTCTCTCCCTCACTAGAACTGGGCAGCCACCTTCCAGGGAAGCCATAAACTGAATTCCTGCATCGGGCAAGGAGTTGGCCCTGAGGGTCTGAATGGCCACAGCCAGCGATGTGGCTCTGGTCACGAACGGAGGGCTTCAACAAGCGTGTGTGGAAGAGGATGTTTGTGCAAGTTGTGCTGTCTGAAGGTGCTTAGATCTTTTAAGGATCTGCATTTTAGAATTTTGTCTGGCATGCAAGAGACAGCGGGGGCTTTCCCATTAGTTGAGACGTCGACACCTCTCAGCCCCAGCCAGCAGGGTCAACGCTCAGCAATGCAGGAAGTTGTAATCCAAAATGCACTGCCTTGAGGAAAGCCAGGTTAAGAGATATTCTGCATTACTGAGATCTGTGAAGTTCTGCCCTTCCTACACCTTTTCCTGGTGCCACGGAGGTAGCGACACTGGTTCCAGTGGGTGGGCTTTTGCCATCTACAGCCAGGGAAGGCAGAATATGTTGCCTCCACTTTCTCCCACATTCAATCCCTTTTTAAAAATAGATGAATAACGAGTTCTTCCTGTCCTATTAATAATGAGAGCTGTGAATTTTGGTAAATGAACTGAAGAAAATTCTCATACTTGCACGGGTCAAAAGCAAAAAGTCTATTTGCATCCAGAAAGAAAGGGGCACACAGTGCCTAGTAGCCATAGAACTTTAAAAGATGAGGACTCTCCCAGGAAAAGCAGGCAAGCGAGCAGCCCCACACCGTCTGGGAGTTGTAGCCAACACATCTGGAAGGCACAACATCTGGGAAGGCTAAGCTAAGTGCCTGAAGGTGTCTGACTGAACGGATAAATCTTTCATTTCCATTTTCTCCCCCATCACTTAAAAAAACCTCACTCAAGTTCTTTCTGTCCTTTTTATGAATAAATGTGTGAATTATGGTATGTCCTTATGAAGAAATAAATTGATAAATATTTTCATTCATCCCTATCCAGAGTAGAGATGAACAGGAAATCCACTTCAATTTGGTTTTGATCAGGTTTTACTCAGTTCTCATCAGTTGGACCAAGCATGGGCTCAAATGCAATCTGTGGTCAAAATACACACACCCCTGGGCTTGCAATCAATTCCATGGACTAAAAGAACAAAAAGGGGTATTGAACAATGGGCACATTTGAAAAATGTGCTTTAAAATGTGTACTTTTCAGAAACATGCACTAAAACATTTTGATCAAAGGGAAAGGACTGCATTCATTTCAGAGGTTGGTACAACTAATGTTGTTAATTTGGGGAAAATGCACACAAAATATGTATGGGCTTCCATGCTAAACAACAACCGCAAAAGCAACACAAACAAAAACTAAGGTCACAATCTGTTATGGAATTGGAGTGGGCTTTGAGATGAAGGCAGAGAGCTTTGGTGAGCTTGGGTCTCGTGGATTCACATCTCTAATCCCAGAGTTGAAATGAAAAGGCGCTGCCTTTACACAGAAGGCGTGATCAGGGTGGGAGAGGAGAAGGGTCAGGAGGACAGAGGGGTACCTGCCGCAGCCTTGAGGCCAGAGGGAAGCTGGGGAATGGACCAAGCAGCACTTTATTCATCACTCTTATTTCATTGGCTCTGGCCGTCTAGTGGGACCTGGTGTGTGAGAAGAAGGCCTTGAACCAAGCAATCGCTACTTTCTTCTTCATTGGTGTCACCTTTGGGGCTGTGCTTTTTGGCTACTTGTCTGACAGGTGAGTATTTACTTCTTCTCCCAACCTGACTCACTCTCACGCATCAGGCTCTAAACTCCCAGGATTCCGTGGCTGGCCATGTTAATTGAGGAATGCTGGGAGATGTAGGACTTCTTTTCTAAATTTGCCTTTAGTGGGTTAAAAGCACCCAGGGCAGAATCATAGAATGGTAGAGTTGGAAGGGGCCAGAAGGCCATCAGTCTGACCCCCTGCTGTCGCAGGACACCAAGTTACACCATCCCACCCAGATGGCTGCCCAGTTTCTTTTTGAATGTCTCCAATGTGGGAGCGCCCACCACTTCTCTAGGCAGCTGGTTCCACTGTTGTATGTGAGCCCTCTCATTCTTGCCTGTACATGTGGAAACTGCAGCTTCAGCTCGCTTGTGATGAGTCCATTTCTCCGCAAGAAGTCACTGTAGGCATGCTGAGAAGGATGAAGGGCCAGCCCCGGATGCTCACGTGCACCAAGGAAACCCTTCCCTCCCTGCCTTCCTCTCAGAGCCCTTTATGTCCTCACCTGAAATTGCCCCAGGAACCTTGGGCCCTTATTAGATTATCAGTCCAATGTGCAACAAAAAAGCATCTGTGGCTTATTTGTTATACAAAGGTCTTCCCTCAAAGAAGGGCTTCCATGCTGAGCGTACTGCATTTCCCCAGGGCCTACGTGGTGCTATATGGCTGCTGGGGGAATGCAAACTTTTCTGCCCTCTCTCCATGCCGTGGTGATGGCTGGAACCCCTCGTCTTCATCTTAACTCTTCCTCCTCCTCCTCTTCCTTGAACGGGGGTGTGGGGGTGGGGTGCGCAGAACCTCTGGCCAGGGGTCCAAATCTGGTCCATGGGGAGCCTCATTCCTGTCCTCTGGGAACTCCTTAAATGGCCCACCTCATATGACCCCAATCACCAATAAATATGTTGGTGCTTCCCCAGCTTTGGTGCAAGGTTTTCCTCATTCTCACAGACTGAAACACCTTTCCCAAGACTTTGTTCCTAGCAGTAGGTGCTATAAACTACGATGCGCTGGTACTGTTGGCACTGCGAGGGCCAGTTCCTTTTGCTTTGCCCGCAGCCTCACCAAGTGCATCTCTGAAATGGAGCTTGGTGCTTTGGAAGCATCTCTGGACCCCGTCCGAGAAAGAGGGTGCACTGCTCTTCACTCACCCTACTGGGTGCCCACCAGGGTTGCCACTGGACAGCACCTTCCCAAATCAGACCCTCTAAATCAAGGGCTGCCCTCCACCTATTGGCTCGTGCCTGTGACATCGCTGCCTTTCTGCTGTTCAGGTTCTCCCATTCCTCGCTATGACCCAAGCTTGACTCTGCGCCACTTCCAGTGAAGAAAGTCTTACAGGGATGTCGCTTGTGGATTTTTTAGACTTGGCTTTCAGACTTTAGCTAAGCTCAGGGTGAGCTATGAGACTTCACCAGGCTAGGTCAGTTTCAGGCCCTGGCTCTTGTATTTTTGGGCAGCTTTTTGTTATTGGATGAAACTTTCCCTTCTGGTTTACATGGCTATCCTCTAGCCCTTTTTGTGGTGTTGGAGAGATTATGGGGTAGTTTCCGCCTAAGAAGGCCACCCCTTCCCATGCATTATCTATGGAGCGGAAAGTACATCAGTGCCCATAAGCCGAAGCTTGCATGCCTGTTCTCCAGAGGCCAAATGCGGTAGCACCAATTGTCTGTACAAAGCTATGGGGTGTTGTCCTGTCAAAACGCCCTGCAAGGAAAGGCTGTCCTCTCTCATCGCTGGAGCTCGGTTCACCTGCTCATGGCTTTCAGGACCCTAGGATATGAACCGGGCTGCCAAGGCCGGGGGCCCTCAGTGAGGGCGTTCAAGGAAAGAATGGACAACCGCAACTTGGGGGTGGCTGGTGCTGGGGATCAGAATAGATGGCCCAGGAGACCCCCTTTGGAGTCACTTTGTTTCTGTGTTTTATTTACATTTTCTGTCATAACAACGACCCTGCAAAGCAGATCACCAGTGCTCCCATTTAATGCATTGGTAGCACATCTAGGGCATGGTCATTTGCTTAAAGGAAGCCAACTGAGTTCATAATAAAGAGCCCAGTCTAAAAAATCGAAATCTAGTTCTCTGCCCACTGGTGCGTGCTGGCTCTCCTCCTCGCTCCCACTCCCTTTTCGAGCCCTCTTGGGAAAAGGCAAGGGGAATGGCAAGTGCTTGGGCTCCTCCAGCAAGGCCGTACTTCTGTCCCTCTCCACTTCACCTCCTCTGGAAGGAAAATGGTTCTTGTGTTCTTTCCCCTCCTCCTCCCACCGCCCCCCATCAGGTTTGGCCGGCGCAAGACGCTTGTGCTCTCGTTATGCATCACGCTGTTCTTTGGGACCATGTCGGCATTTTCGATGTCCTACCCGATGTTCGTCGTCATGAGGTCTCTTTGTGGAATGGGGCTCACGGGGTTGTCCATCATCTCCATGATATTAGGTGGGTGCAAGAACACGACGGACGGGCGGCCCACCTCTTTCGGCAACCCGGTCCAAGAGCCGGCTCAGCCCTGTTTGTGGTGAGAGGAGGTGCAGGGCTTGAAGTCGGGGAAGGAGGCAACCGCAGCCTGGGGAGCTCTTGATGCCAATCCCAAACACCAACCTGCTGTGCATTGCCTTCTATGGGGTTTTGTCTACCCGACGGACAGGGGATAAGACCTCCCAGCCGTCTCGCCACTCCTGTGCTTTCCCGGGTTGCTGATGCATCCATCGGCCGCCTCCCTGGGCTTGTTCTCAGTGTTGCTGGCCTCCAGCCCCCTTGGCACGGCTGGCTGAGGCTTCCTCTCCACCTGTCAGGCTCCCCCTGCTCCCAGTGCAAGCACAGACACACACGGTCTGGGAGGACCTGTGGCCTTCCAGATGTGTGGCCTACAAGTCCCATCAACCCTCACCACTGGTGCACTAGCGGGAGTGAACTGCATGGCTTTGCTCTCTCGTGCTGAAGGGCACACCTGGCTCACCCTCTTTTCCAAGAAGGCCCACACCGCGGCCTGGTGGTGCCGCTCCACCGCGGCTCCCTTGCCACCGGCAGGCCTGCGTTCCTGCCCACCCCTCTGTGCCCTGGGGGCAGGCGGGAGAGGGCCCCCGGCATTGAAAAGGAATAGGTGGGGCACCCCTCAGGGGACCTGGGCTCTCAGAGGACTCTGGCCATGGGGCTGACTGTGTGGAACTCTGGGGTTCTGGGGCAGGGCTGAAGCCACTGTCCTGGCTGAGACAGAGTCCAGCTTGAGCAGCTGCTGCCGTCAGGAACAGAGGCTCCTGGGGCTGGTCGCTCCTTTTGGTGGCACGACGGTGCTCGTGGACGGATGGACGGACGGACGGACGGACTCCAACAGGTGCTGCTGCATGTTCCTTTCCAGCTGTGGAGTGGACGGACATCAAGCACCGCACCTTCTGCGGCACCGTCAGCAGCCTTTCCTGGTCTGTTGGGTACATGCTCCTGGCACTGGTGGCCTACTTGATCCGGTCCTGGCGCTGGCTTGTGCTGGCGGTCACGTCTCCCTGCCTCCTCGGCATTGCGGTTTGCTGGTGAGTGGCTGCTCCTGCACGGCCCTGACATTCCCTGGGACAGCCCTGGGGATTCCCGGGCGCTCCGCAGCCCGCGGCTGGCGCACCGTGGCTCAAACGGCAGGGCGCCCCCTTCCTCATTGTACTTTCACTGCTCCCCACATGTCTGGTCACCGAGCAAGCGGAAATGCTGCGGCCTCGCCAGGAATGCATGTGGGGGCCCCGGGGCCCCAGAGACCTCAGTCTTCGCCTCAGTGCCCTCCAGGTGCTTTGACCCACAACTCCCATCATTCCTCACCATTGTCTAGGTTGGCTTAGACCAGGGGTCCTCAAACTTTCTCAGTAGGGGGCTAGTTGAAAGGCAGTGGCTACATGCTTGGGCCGGTGAGGAGTGGGGGCCTGTGTGCGCGGGCCGGTGAGGCATCGTCGGGCGTGCGCAAGGTGGCGCTGGGCGCGCGAGTTGGTGGCTTGCTCCCTTGGAGAGCTCCCAGCGAGTCCAAAACCACCTCTGAGAGAGCAAGCCACCGCCTCCCGCCCTCGCTGCGAGGCAATGGCGAGCGTACCTGCACCAGGGAGGCAGGTGGCGGCGGCTCGCTCGCTCGGAGATGGTTTTGGACTCGCTGGGAGCTCTCCAAGGGAGCAAGCCACCCCCTCCCCCCCCACACAGTGAGCATGCGCATGGGCGGTGGGGGGTGGCGGTGTGGGCCGGGTGAATGGGCATGGTGGCCGGATCTGTCCCGTGGGCTGCAGTTTGAGGACCCATGGCTTAGACTATTGAGAGCGGTAAGCTGAAACACCCAGCCTTGCATCAGCTTCTCTCCCCCTCACCCACTGTGTTGTGCAGAACAGGAATCTCAGGGCCTGGGATACCTCCAAATTGGCAGCTTGCTTCAGAAGATCTGGCCCTCAGCTGTACCCTTCCTGGGCTGGACTATCTCTCCCGCCAATGCCTCCTTCCTAAAACACGGGGATGTTTGAAGCCTCAGATCTCTGGCCCGGAGTGTAGGTCTCTGTGGCCTCCAGCAAGCAGGCCCTGGAGCATCTCCAGTCCCAGCGTCAGGAGGGCCTGCTCCTCAGTCATGAGGGGTCCCAGTCTCTGGATCAGGGGCTCCCAGCTGGCCACCTCCAGCTCCGGACCAGGCTTGCTGTCCACTTGTGAAGCCTGAACAGCAGCTGATCCAGCCGTCTCTCCCTCCCCTTTGCCCGAGACCTGGCCAGCCACGCCACTTTCCCACGCCCTGGCTGTGGCTCAGGACCCAGGCACACGTGGCATTGCCATGTGGTTCCTCAGGTTTCTCCCAGTCGCACACCAAAAAACTAATGCCTGGCGACGACATATTGTCGATCCTCCCATGGTCCAGTTGTCCCTTTCAGGCGTTTATCTTTCTCTCTTATCCACATCTGTATATCTATCGAAATGTTTATATCCCACCATTCTATCTTTATATCCCTCCATTGCATATTTAAAAGACCCCCCCCCACACACACACACACTGCCTAGTAGCCAATCAATGGATAAGGGCACACACACGCTCACCAATACAGAGCAAACAAGCCCAAAACTGAGGAAGCCATTCCTTGCCAAATGTTCTTTCCAAATGTCCTTTGTCCTGCAGGGCTAGGGCAGGGAAGGTGCTGGTGAATCTGGTTCTTCTCTTTGGCACCCCCAGATGGCAATTGCTCCCTTAAGCAATTTCTCTGGCCTTTGCCAGGTGGCTGCCCGAGTCAGCCCGGTGGCTCCTGATGAGGAAGGAGGTGAAGGCTGCCCAGAGCTCCCTTTGCAGGTGTGCCAGGGTCAATGGCAGAGGAGACATCTGCTCCCGGATCACGCCAGAAGTGAGTGCAAAGCGCAAAGGGGGCTAGCTTGTCTGGAAGTACGGGCTGACCGCTTTTCTCACGCCAAGCTACACAGCACTAAGGACTTTTCTGCATGCAGCATTTATTGCTTGCAGGGCCTTTTCACAATGTCGTTGCTCCCCAAATTCTGCTGTCCAGTCTATTTTGTGGATTCTTTTAGAGCAAGGAAAGTCTGGTATTAAATTTCAAGTTGCAAAATTCTGGACCCAAAGCTTCCCGAGAAGATGCAAAACCGCTGCGGCGCAGCTCTGCCACAGCGCCCCCTCGTGGTTGGTCGAGGGAATATTTAGAAAGGCAGAGCCTCGGCGGAAGAGCAGATTTAACCTTTCATGTAGAAAAGCCTTAAAAGGGTCGAATTACGCTTGAGCACACGCTAAATTTAACTTTGAGAGCCATGCAGATGATTGTTGCCAAATATGGGGAGCTCACTGCCTTGTAGGTGTTTCAAAACTGCATGTGCCCATAGACTTTGCAGCTCCCACTCACAGGATGGGTTCTGAGCGGCAAGGAGGGCTGCAGACTTCCCACCATTGTCCAATCCTGCTTTTAAACCAGGCATGTGGAGCACTTTCCTTGGAAGCCTCCCTGGAGCGAAACCACCACGTTTTTGCCAGCACTGCTCTAGCACCACGTCAACCATAAATTTGGCAGGGGGTGGACACTGGGCTGGAAAAATATTGCAAGCCCCCAGTCCCTGAAGTGTGCCTTTCCCTCAGTGTGGGCAAGGAACAGACAGTATGCCCTGGGAAAGGCTCTTCTTGCTGCTTATGTAGAGACAGAGAAACAGAGCAAGTCAGAAGGGGTCTCCTGGGCCATCTAGTCTGACCCCCGGCTGCAGCTGGTTCCACTCATGGCATGCCCACCATGTGCATGTCCAGCCTATTCTTAAACACCCTCACCAATGGGGCTTCACCCACCTCCTGTGGAAGCCCATTCCATACCCTTGCGGTGCTGTCAGGAAGTACTTCCTGGCATCCACCTTGAATCTTGGTTCCCTGCGCTATGCTCCATTGGAACGAATCCTGCCCTCCACAGCAGGGGGAAAAGGTCATGACCCACCTCTGCATGTCACCCCGTCATGTGCCTGCATGTGGCTAACAGGTCCCCTCTGAGTCTCCTCCTCCCAAGACTGAAAAGACCCAGCTCCCTCAGCCTCTCCTCATACGGCTTCCCCTGCAAACCAGCCCCATCCTAGTGGCCCTTCGCTGCACTGATTCCAAGCTTAAATGCACTTAGCGCGCCGCATGCATTAGCCATGTGAGCAATGCTGAGTGCACCCAGGATGCGTTGGGGACGTGTGCCTGCAGCCACACACCTGCATTGCAACCGCAATGGCATGACTTGTGACTCTTTAAAGGCTAAGCCAGTTTTTATGGCTTGAGCGTCTATGCATTGTGGAGTCCATCAGCCTCCCCCCATGTGTGTCCTCCAGCAGCGGTGGGCTACAACCCTCATCAGCCCCAGCCAGCTTGGCTATTGACTGGGATGATGGGGATTATAGTGCAAAGCATGTGGATGTTTCCATATTGCAGAAGGCTGCATTACAAGTATCAGGGTGGGTCGGGGAAGGCAAAGAATAGAGGTTATGAGCTGTGTAGCTCCTAAGAAGGTTATGAGCAGTGGCTATTGGCACAACAGCAGCTGGTGATAAAACAAGCAGCACGGTACTGGCAAGCCGATTCACACATGCAGTGCAATGCAGGCAACAATGCCTTGACAGGTGATGAGGAGGATTGGGTCCACAAAAGCTTATGCTACAAGACATGGTAGCCTTGAAGGCACCGCAAAACTCAGCATTGCTTTTGCTAGAATTAACTATTGCGTCAGTTCCGCTCTGTGGCTCTTGCCCTCTGCACCGCCACCGGTGTGCCCGAGCCGGGCCGGGCCCAGGGAGGCATGGGTGGCACCTGCCACGGGCCACTCTCCAGCAGAGGCCCACTGGCCACAGCCCTCTGCTGTCGCTCGCAATGGGCTTCCCTCGGTGGAGCTCCCGGGACGGCCCCCACGAAGCTCCAGAGAAAAGCTACGCTGGTCACGCGGCCCCAGTGGCACAGAAGCTGCTGGCCTCCCCTGGAAACAGCCGGCTTCTCTTCTGGTGTATCGTGATGCAAAGTGGCCCCCGGGAGGCCGCCGGCCAGAGCCAGAGTGGACCTTTCTCCGTTCCTTTGCGGCGAGTGCAGGTCCTGCAGGAGGCTGTGGCCACAGACAAGTCCAGGACCTGTTCCTACTGGCACTTGGTGAAGACTCCCGAGCTGAGAAAGACCACGCTCTGCTCCTCCATGGTTTGGTATGGTATTTCCAGCCTTCTGAAGAAACAGGTCGCTCTTCTTTCTTCAAAGCTGTTGCAAATCATTGTAGTGGGAGGTAGACCAAGCAGTAGTTCCCCTCCCGCCAAAGGCGTTCCTCTTGTCTCCTCATCCAGTCCACTGCTGACCTCAGGAAGCAATTTAGCACTGGGACCACTTCTTGAGAGTCAGATGGAAGGAGAAGTAGAGCTTCCAGAACTCTGGAAGTTTCTCCCACTGGTTTCATTTACATGCCAAATAGCACTCGCTGGTTTCTCCTGGCTGGTTTCTCCTGGCTGGTTTCTCCTGGCTTTGGGGCAGTGCTTTCCCATTGGAAAGGTTGGAACACCTCTCCTGTAGCTTAGTTGTGGGCAGGAGCAGCTTTAAGCTAGAACGGACTCGTGCTTTTGGTGTTTTGGCCTGCCCCTTTGGCCTTTGACCCCATCCAGTACTGGAAGGTGGCCCCCAAGAGCTTCTCCAAACTTGAATTTGGCCCCCATGCTGAATGAAGCTCAAGGCGTAATTGGCCTCCTATTTGCCTTGCAGGTTTGGTGTTGCATTTACTTACTATGGCATCAGTCTAAACATCACCGGCTTTAGCTTGGACCCGTACCTGACACAGTTAATCTTCGGGGCCATCGAGGTTCCGGCCAAACTCAGCGTGTATTTCGTCCTGGATCGCATTGGGCGCCGGCGCTGCCAGTCCTGGTCCTTGATAGCCACCGCATCCCTGATTGTACTGAAGACGGCCATCCCCGCAGGTGAGGGCTTTCTCTTGCCCACCTGACCATCGGGGGAGCGGTGGAGGAGGACGCCATCGTCACTAATCAGCGAGCGCAAGGGGCCCCTGCAGCATCTAGAGGGCGCATGCTGCCGCCGAGCACGTCATGAAACGAGGCTGAGGCGCCCAGGCCTAGAAGAAAGGGCCTTTCTCTGGAGAGGTTGAGTGCGTCATTCCGTCGGTGGAGTCACATCTCCTGTTTCCTTCCTCAGAGCACGGACACCTCCGGTTAGCTGTGGCCCTCTTGGGGAAGGGTTTCTCGGAAATCTCCTTCACTACTGCCTTCCTATACACAGCTGAACTTTACCCCACTGTACTCAGGTAAGGGGCTGAGCCACCAATCCAGCCCACTGGCCGTGGGTCTTTGCGGGTTGGGGCTGGAAGGGAATCAAGGCTGCTCCACAGCTGGGCAGCTTCCGGGGCAGTGGGCTCTTCTCTAGCTGCATTTCAGGGTCACGTTCTGCAAAGGAGTGTAACCCTCACCCTGAACTGTGCATGGAGATGCATTATTAGGATAATTGCTGACAACCTGATTCATGAAATCTTAGTCCTGATCTACAAACACAGTGGAAAGAGATTGTGGTGTCCTTTGGAGATGGTGGAACAGATGTTACCTGCAGCTTGCAATGGAAGGCGTGCAATCGCATCCTTGCATTTTCCCTGCATGGAAAAATGCACTGCATGTTGAACATGGAAACAGTTGGGACCTGAATCCTGATTTCTGAGCCTTGGGTTTCCAGGCAGTGTTGGACTACAACTCCCAACATTCTTGCCCTTTGACCACGCTTGGCTGGGAACAATGAGAGCTGTAGTTAAATAACAGCTGTGGATTTTTGGGAAAGCCCAGCTAAGACTTTTTCTTCTGGTTGTGCTAGAGTTTAGGGGACAATTCAGTGAATTAACTGCTTAAAGCTGCATATATTTTAATATAAAAAAAATCCTTCTAAGCCAGAAGAGATCGTGTTTGAACAAACACCCCCCTTCCCCTCTCAAACAAGGAAGAGGGCTTCTTTTAAGATGCCACTCCAGGGCTACCTGGGCACAGGTGCTGCCGCCACGCACCTTTGACTATGCCAAAGCCTGAACGGAAGGAGAAGCTGAGCTGCACGGCAGCATTCGGAAAAGGAGAGAGACATGGCACCGCCTTCCAGTGCTGAATGCTCACTCACAGAGGCCAGCGTGTTTTCTGGGCACTGCAGGGGTGGGACAGGCACGCTGGCAGCAGGGCCTGGACTGGGATGGTCCCAAGCTTCAGGCACGCTGGAATGCAACAGGGATGGGGAATCTCCAGCCTGCCAGAAACATCCTGTCTCTGGGGAGAGTTGTACTCTAGGAGAAAGAGGGATGCCTGTGGCAGTCTCTGAGCACCCCCAGAGATAACGGAGGGGCTCCCCCTTCATACACTAACTTGGTCGGTGCCTGGGGGAGCTCCCTGTCCACCTGCCAGCTGAGTCCCTTTCTCCTTGGAGACGGAGACATGGACCTCCATGCCATCTTCTGCATGCAGAAATGTCGAAAGGGCATGGTGGAGCAGATGACATCTGTGGAAAGGGTCAGCCTTTGGGCAGACCATGCCCCGATGTCATCCTGTCTGCAGGGTGGGGACTGTTAATCCAATCTCTGGTTCAGAATGGGTCGTCCATCCCTGGAGTGTAATGGCCTCAGAAGCAGCTTCAACCTGAGTCAGATCTGTGGTCCATCTAGCCCTATATTGTCAACTCTGACTGGCAGCAGCCTTCCAGGCTTTCAGGCAGGATTTCTCCCTGGCCAAACCCGGCAGGCTTTGCATGTGAAGCACGTGTGGTGCCAGTGAATACACAGGCTCCCTGGCGAAGGAGGAGGGTCGCTAGCAATCTCAAGCTGGTTCTGGCTGTCTTTGCAGGCAAAGTGGCATCGGCTGCTGTTCATTTGTGGCCCGGATTGCCAGCTCTGTGGCTCCTCTGATCATGTTGCTGGAGGACACATGGAGATACCTCCCGCCGATGATTTTCAGCGTGATGGCTGGCTTAGCCGGGTTGGCGGCCTTCTTGCTAACGGAGACCACCAACGTCCACTTGCCGGACACCATACAAGACGTGGAGAATGGCAGGTAGGAGGTCTGGACACACAAGGTGCCCTGGCAAGAAAGACGGCTCTGCGTACTGCCCCTCAAAGGGGGTGCGATTGAATATCAATCTGTTACTGTTCTTCCTCTGCTGATGGGAGAAAGTCTAGTACCCATTGCAATTCTGAGAACATTCAAAGCACTGGCTGCTTTGCTTCAGTGCTCCATTGAGCTTTGGGCTCAGACATGGAACAGTCCTCTTCTTGTACCCGCTTATGCATCCATTGAAGTCCTCTTCAGTGAGTCTTCGGCAGATGTTTGCTACAACAACTGGCAACCAGAGATGGAGTCTTAGCAATAGTGCTGCCCAGATTTTTAAAACTGTTGTTGTTATTTATTCTATATATCAACAACATCTTGTTTTTAACACTTTGAGTTGGATCTGGTTTTAGTTATTCCTACAGGAGACCCACTGAAATTTAGGGTAGTCATGACTAACCTAAATTCCATTGATTTCCCTGTGTTTAACCTGGAATCCAGCCTGCTGCTCATGATTTGTATTATATCTCAAGTTTCTTAAAGTTAATTTTAAGAAACTTGCAAACTCCTGAGTCGAGGTTTCTCCTCCAGCACAATCTTTATTTGAGTTTTTGCAAGGATAACATGAGGTGCAGAAGCAGACACGCTAGCCTGAGCTCTGTGGACGAAAGGCAGGAAAGAAATTTATTTATTTATTTATTAAAACATTTTTATGCCGCCCCATTCGCCGAAGCCTCGGGGCGGCTTACAACAAAAAATAAAATAACATTTTAAAATACATACAATAAAATACAAATATATAATATAAAACATACACTATAAAACAAGCCGCCCTGGCCAAATAAAATTCAATAATATTAACATTTAAAATACTGCTTAAATAAAAAGGTCTTCGCCTGGCGCCGAAAAACAAATAACGACGGCGCCAGGCGGACCTCTCTGGGGAGCGCATTCCATAACTTAGGCGCCACCGCAGAGAAAGCCCTCCTCCGAGTAACCACCCTCCTAACTTCTTCCATGGAGGGCTCCCGGAGAAGGGCCTCTCCCGCCGTTCTCAGGGGGCGGCTGGGCATATAAGGATGTAAGCGCTCCTTCAGGTAACCAGGACCCAAGCCGTTTAGGGCTTTATAGGTCATAACCAACACCTTGAATTGGGCCCGGACTTCAATGGGAAGCCAGTGAAGCTGACGGAGAACTGGAGTCATGTGAACATAATGTCCAGTCCCCGTCAGCAGCCTGGCAGCTCTATTTTGGACCAATTGAAGTATCCGGACCGTCTTCAAGGGTAGCCCCACGTAGAGCGCGTTACAGAAGTCCAAACGGGAAGTCACCAACGCATGTGTCACTGTCGCAAGGCAGTCATTCTCCAGATAGGGGCGCAGCTGATGAATTAGCCGAAGCTGGAGGAAAGCGCTCCTCGCCACTGCTGTTACCTGAGCTTCCAGTGAAAGCTCTGGGTCGAGGAAATGTGACAATGAATTGATAAGAAAAATAATATTGCATTGTTAGCACCAATCTCCTTAGGGCTTCTGTCTCTATGTTCATTGCATGTATTTTTATCTGAACTTCCAAGTGGTGGTAGCAACGTGGACAAAGCTACTTGTGACACCCAAATTCCTTCTCGGTGTCTTGTCATCTTCTTTTTCAGAAACAAAACATTCCTGGAAACCCAGCTACAAGTCCAAAGCGGGAATGGAGTCCTTGATCTTGGGAGGTTGAGTCAGAGTAGCACAGATGCTCTGCCGTCTACATAACAGGAAGACCATCATGACTGTGACAGGAAATAACAACAAAACGCATTATTAGCTAATAGGATGGACACTTCTGGAAGTTATTAAAAGGAAGGCAAAAAGAGCCAGTTGGTGCGAGGTGCTAATTGGAAGTGACGCGCCTTAACGGGATTACTTTGGCTCGAAATGGAAAACCATGCCATGCATTTCCCTCTCATTCTCAGTGTTGGCAGCTGGCCGGGGGAGGGGGAAGTGGCTGATGCTGGCGCCTTCTCTCTGTGTTGCAACGCTTGGCAGGAAAGGCTGTGTGCGAGAACGACCATGTTGTGGGAGCCCCAAGAACTTGTGCAGTGCTCTGCCTGCATTCCAAGCCTTCTCCACTGGCCTCCCCAGCTGCCATCACCACTTACGGATTTTTGGCCTCACAGTAATTCACGGGGCTTGTTCATTTGCCCAGTCATTTGTGAGGTGGCTTGACATCAATTTGTCTGAGGGTTGAGATCAGGTCACATGACGGTATGGAAAGTCCTACCCTGGTTTCCATTTTGTTTTCAGGTGCAATGCAAAGTGCTGGTTTTGACCTAGAACACCCTTAGCGGCTTGGGGCCAGGTTACCTGAAAGAACCCTACCCTAACCCCTACCCTACCCACATACTGAGATTATCAGCTGAAGCTTTCCCCCGGCACCCCCACTTCTCAAGACAGGGCCTTCTCTGCTGTGGCACCCATATTATGGAATGCCCACCACAGACAGGTTCACCTGTGCTTATCCTGCTATCTATTGGATTGTACCTGTGGGGATGAAGAGAGTGGCAGTCCGACACAGTTTGGAGAAGGGTGCCCTAGGGGAAGAGGAGCGTGAATGTGTTCGAGAAGAAAGCCACTGGTTGTAGGAGACGGCCATATGCGATTCTGGTGTGCAGTGTTAAAGGAGCATAAGAAGAGGCATGCAAATCAGGCCCAGGGGTCGTCTAGCCCAGCATTCTGTTCCCACAGTGGTCCAGCCAGCTGCCTGCAGGGGAGCCCGGTGGGGCATGAGTACAACTGCATGTCTTGGCCATGTTCTTCAGCAACTGGTGTCAAATGTCAATGACTCATATGGGTTGGTGTTTAACTTTGGAGGACATGAACCTGCCACGCAACATCATATCACTTATTTCCAGCTTGATCTGCCAGACTGACACGTTGGAGCGTTAAACATTTTCCTAGCCCCCTGTCACAGTGCCCATGTCTTTTCTTCTGGACACTTTCCTTTCCTGTGATTGCACTTCTGCTCCCACTGAACTCTATCCAGAGATCTGTTTGCTCAGCCCCCACTTGCACAGGGGCAGCTCTTTGATCTGCATCTCAAAGTCCATAAAGACAAGCAGCGTGCAAAACCACAGCATCCTGCTTTTGCACAATTATTCTTCATTGTACAAGTACTTAAATCATGGCAAAGTAAAACAATCATTGCAACTGATTAAAACTGACATAGTATATAAAGATTAAGTTGAATTAGCATACAAAATTAATATGCAATAATTTAAAACAGGACAATATTACAACAGTACAGGTAGAATGAGCCATTCCTAGGTGTCACTATCAGGCTAAAATCACAATCTCCAAACATTCATCATAAGTCGCCGAGATATAGTCCACAAACTTCTCCCTGCCTCTTTTACCACCAACAAGACTAAATTATTTGTCACATGTTGCTTTGTCCTTTGAAATGGAAAACCCATTTTTCCTTTCTCTTCCCAGTACTTCATTTTCCTTAGGAAAGTTTCTAAACAATACTTTCTAATATCAGTATATTAGAAAATGTCACTATTTTGTCAGTATATAACTGTCAAAATAGTGTGGAATGGGTCAGATTTTCTGTGCCTGGGGATCTGCAGATGCACAGCATATTTTGAACTGGAATATCCTGAAATCTCCTGTTTCATCCCTGATTCCATTTGTTTAAAATGTAGTGTGATAAAAGCTTTCTGATGTTCCATTACCTTGAAGTATGTCCGGCATTTTTCATGCTGATGGTGAAAGTTGTGCCTGATAACCATTTACTTATTTTGAGGGTAATAGTGACACTTATTTCAGGTTGAGCTCCTATATCCAAACCACTTTGTCTAAAAACCCTTCTGGTAGCCTTTCCCCCGGATTCAATGTCTGTATGGGGAATCTAATTTTGGGAGTAATTTTGCCTCTGTTGAAGCCAGAACTATTCATATAAAATTGCATCCTGTTCTTCTGGACAGATCTTTGGAAGGGTATTTTCCAACATTTAGTTGACTCTATACCAGTAACTTGCCATTCTAACATATATTAAAACAGAAATCATCCCTACATCTAATTCTGCACTAATTATATATTTAGAGTAGATTTTGAAACTCCTAGACTCATATGCAGGAAATGGTTTTGGACTCTTTCAATGACTGTAAGCTCAAGGAAGGAACAGTGTGACTTTTATCTGCTTTTCCTGAGCATAGAAAGAGATATTCTCAAAAGTAGGTATAATCAGTAGGATTCTGTAAGTCTTTCTAGTTAACATAATTCTTTTAGGGAGTTGTAACCAGAGTGAAAACAAACAGGTTACTGCTTCTCCAACTGTAGCAGTGACAAGTACTACCATCTTACTGCTTTAAGCTGATATTTCAGAACTTTACAGTTTCTCTGATAACAACCATCTGTTTCTAAACCTTCTACACACAGTACTCATCACATTGACCAAACCTACAGTTCTTTACATTAGAAGTGTGAGAGGAGAGACCCTGGATTCAGCTCACAACCTAGTCTGGTGGTAACAGGCTGAACTCTCATGGAAAGTTAATTAATAAGACAGAGTTGGCATTCTTTTACTTAGCAACTGAGAATGTCTGAGTATAGCTGCATATAGCAAAACTGTTCCAAAGATCTGACAGTTTCTCTTGAGCTCCATCCCAGGAGCAGAAGACAAACACTAGGGAACGGTCGAGCAGTCCTTCGAGTGTTTTAGTGAGCAGCTGAAACAAAACACTGCTAAGCTCAGCAGAAGAACATTGAGGAGCTTCTGCCAGATCTCCTGCTTTTGTAGGACACCAGACAATCTGAAGGGGTTCCCTCTTCCGCTATCGCATCCCCTCCAAGCAAGCGAGCTCCTGGGCAAACATGAACTTCGAAGATCTCCTGCAGGAGGCCGGTGGCTTTGGCAAGTTCCAGGTCTTAACCTTGCTGCTGCTCTGCCTTCCGAGGGTCCTTCTCCCCTTGCATTTCCTCCTGCACAACTTCTTGGCAGCCATTCCTCCTCACCACTGTGCGATCCCACATCAGGAGCAGTTTGCCAATCTCACAGAGGAAGACGTGCTGCTCATCAACATCCCAAGGGACTTGGAGGAAACTTTCAGCTCCTGTGAGATGTTCTCCAGCCCGCAGTTTCACCTATTGCTTAACTCCACCTGGGCACCCACCAACTCCACATCTGCCCAGAAATGCCAGCATGGATGGGTCTACGACCACTCCCAGTTCACTGCCACAATAGCCACCCAGGTGAGCCTTTCACCTTTTGCCTTCCCATCAGTTCTGGGAGCATGCAATGGAGGGAAGGAATCAGTTGCTAGGAACAGAAAACAGAGAGAGAAGGACTTGTTACACTCGGCCTTGCTGCCACACATCACGTTCTCCAAGATGTTCAGAGCAGCTCAGGTGCTTCTTTGGTGACCACCAGACCTGCCATGCCTCTGAATGGCCTTTGGTGTAGCCCAGCCTTCTCTCATCAGGTGCTGTTCAGGAGTTCTGGACAACACCTCTCAGCATTCCTGACCATTGGCTGGAGCTGATGGGATCTAAACTTCAAAGCATGTGGGGGATATCAGGGTGATGGCAGATGTTTGTAAGCCTCTGAAGTCAAGGGTTTATGAACATCCAATGCAAGACACAAGGTCACCGGTTTTGGGTGTCTAGATTTAGCTCTAGGAAGGCGTCTGGGGTCCCAACTGGAACCAGTGTGACTCTGTGATCCTGCCTCTTTCCCTTCCCACCCCCCAGAAATCCCCTTTCCCCCCTCTTGAGTTCCAGTTGTGACATGAAGGTGGGGGCTTCCATGTCCTTTACCGTGCCAGCTGCAAAGGGGTGGGGTGGGGTGGGGTCTCAGTCTTCAGAGTCCTCAAATCACAGAATCTCGGAACCGGGACTTCAAAGAATCCTGGCAGCAGATCTCCCTCCACTGCCCTTGGTTGATTTCCCCCTTGATCAGCCAGTTCCTTGAGGGAAGGAACTTGCCTGATTTTGCCTGTGTGATTGTGTGAGCCACTGACTGTCTCGTCTTTGCAAACCACCTTTTGACGAAACAGTGGGGAAAAAATAGTAATCCTTCCATTGGCAGCAACAGTAGCGAGTGTGTCACACACCTCCAGACCATTCCCTGACTGCCCAATCATGAGTTCATAATGGAAAAAGAATTTAATTATGTGGTGGATTTCCTGCAGCCACTGCACATCATCCACTGTAGGGGGAAGCGGACGAATGCAGTGCTGCCTATTTCTGAGTGAGTGGCAGTCCCCTTCCAAATGTTTAAATAAACATACTTTGGAAAGGAGCGTTCCAATGGAATTATTTTCACCTCTGGCTTATACTTCAGATCTGTAATTTGGTGGGAAACCAGCTTAAATTTTCAAAATTTCCCCTGGGAATTGTAATTTTCAGATGAACTGAGAATTTGTAGTGCAACATCTGTAGCCCCTTCCACTGGACAAGAGCCAGTGTGTGGTTGCTTGAGAACTTACCTCCTACCCTGGAATGGATTCTCTCATTTCCTGCTGCATTCAGGCTTTCTTTTTAGCTCTTAAGTTCTATTCATCCCATAAATGAAATTTGGGCAAATTCTGGATTCTGAGTTTTGGCCAGAAAGAAAGAGAGCGAGAGAGAATGAGAGAGAATTCTGACCCATTCAGAGTAATCAAATTCAACAGGAAAAGCTGTTTCCAGCATCAAAAATGTTATATTGCATCCACCTGCCATGTAGTTCTTAAACTGTATGTGGTGGGAGCACAACAGCCCCAATTCAATATCACAAATCAGGTTGAGTATACAGGGACTTAAACCCAGCTTTTTAAGAACTTGAAATGCAAAGCTGTCTTTGTGGATGTATAAATAAACAGGCCTGTTTGCTCTCTCCTGCATTTGAGCTTTTAAAATAATTGCAAATTACAGGGAAGATCTTCTAAAAAAACAAACAAATGGAATAAAATTGCTACCACTCTATAGTCACAAAGACAAGGAGAAGGCACTTAACCCTTTCCTTTCATGCCACTTCCTGGGGGAAACTCTCAGGGCCTCCTAAAAGCTACTTTTCAGTTGGGAGAGGGAAAATAGAAGGAATATTATCGGAGTTTGGAGGAGCTAGCTGAGGTCATGCAAGGATAAAGGAAAAGCACTTTCCGCATATTAAGTTGTGCCCCTTTATACATGACATCACCTGTGCTTTTGGGCAGAGCACCTGTTTTGAATGCAAAAGACTCTTGGGTCAGTCCTTGGCATTTCCAGGTAGGGCGGGGAAGGACTTGGACTGCAAGTGCTGCAGAGCTGCTGGTAGACCAATCTTCCCTGATACAGCAGCCTTCAGATAGGTTGGGCTACAATTCCCATCCTCCCCAGCCAGCATGGCCAATGATGGGTGCTGGCTAGGGGCACTTTTCTACTCAAGGCAGAGGGTTTTCTATTCCCAGAGCCTGCCTCTGCAAATAGGAAGGTTGCAAATAGTATTTTGGGGGGTGGGGAGTGTGCTTTCTGCTTGAAGGATGTGTGTTTTGAGATTCATAATAGTCTGAAGATGATTCATTAGACATGCGTGGGGTAGGAATGAATTTAGAGAGAAAACAGGATGGTACAGTCACGGCTGGAAGGAAATGGAGTGACAGACGAAGTGGGAAGAAGGGACCCATGGCGGAGCAGAAGGACCTTCTCTTTCTCACTTCAGGTGTCTTGTATTTACTTTCACCTCTCTTCTTGGCCTTGCTCTTCTGTATCAACCATCCCCGGTTTCCCTTTATTGTGGCATCAAGCCTCTTTCAGCCTGGATCCAGGGCTGGATCCAGTTTCAAAGGGGCTCCGTTCCAGTGGTGAAGAGGGAGGGGAAAGTTCACCTGGGGAATGACCAAGGGCCAGCTTCAGCACATGGCCCTGAGGTTCAACATGCTTGACCCACGTGATTCACCTTGGAAGCTTTGTTCTAAATACCTAAGACAGCCCTGCTAGACTGAACCAAAGGCCTCTCTGAACTAGGTTTTCACAGCAGACAACCAAATGCTTGTGAGGCGCCCACAGTCAAAGATGGAGGCTAAAGCTCTCTCTCCTCATGTGGTCCCCCAAAGTCTGGCTTTTGAAGATGTGTTGCCTCTGGTCCTGCTCATGCCATTTAGTCACAGCCAGCCATATCCGCCATGTTTTCCCCCTCTGAAGCTGCCAAAGTGAGTGACCAACCATCTCATCATCTTTCAGTGGAACCCAGTTAATTATTCACCTGCATGGCCTGTCTTTTGCCAGTCTGTACAACTAGAAATGTCTTCTGATACTGGAAACTCTGCTTTTAATTAATTAACTAATTAATTTTTATACCACCCAATAGCTGAAGCTTTCCACATTCAGCGAGTAAAGCTCTCTTTACATTCAGTTGGTACATTTCAGGAAGCTTTCTTTTGTTTTTAACTTATTTTTTATTATAAGTTCCAGCAACAGCAAAAGAAAAACCTGTGAAAAGGAAACAAATGTAATGACCTATACTGGAATTTATCAATTATACATTCACTTCAGCAAATGCAGAAACTGCCATATATGGATGCATTTGAGAGTGGCGTCGATACGCCATCCATTCAGAGGCTCAAAGCATTGTTAGGTCTGTATTATAGGAGGTGAGCATTTATCCTTCCGGTGATGTAACCCTGGTCTTTTAGCTGTCAAAAAGGTGCAGAAAATCCATTTAGGTTAGCCATGTGACACCATTTAAGGGAATCTGGCAAAAGTGTCCTCAGAAGATTGCATTAACCTGAAAGGGGGTGTGTGAATTTTAAGTACTTTTGGTGTGTGGAAAGTAGGGACGTGTCTTGCCTCTAAAGGTGAGGTGGGTAAGAATCCCCCTTTTTTAACTAAAAAAAATCCTCCGCTTGCTTCAAGGAGCAACTGACTTTTTGTTTCCTTTGAGCTTTATTTTTTTTACTGCAGCCCAGCCATGTTCCTGGGGCAAAGTGCCCCTCAGAAGAGGCTACATTGTGATACCATACAGTTCCCTGGGGTGGCCTCATGGTGGGCATTTCAGAACATTGGATGCATTGCGGAATCCATTCAGATTTCCATTTATTCTGGGATCTGCCAGATCTTTGGGGGTGAAAGCCAGTGCTTGTGCTAACCCTATAAATAATGGGTCACATCAAGAGTAAGGAAGCTACACTTGTCCAGTGTTGCTGAACAGCAGTTCCCATTAGACCCAGCTAACATGCCCAATGGTCGAGGTTGGTGGGCGTGTTGTTCCATCGACAGCTGGGGTGCCACGGGTTCCCAATCCAGTGTTGGACGCTTGTTTCTCGCTCTTTCTCTGCGCTATTCAGTGGTGGTGCAATTCTGCTTTATACTCATCTGGCATCTTGGGGATATTCTGGAAGGTTCACCTCTCCCATTGAGCATCCAAGACAGTTCTCTCCATTAAAACTGCAAGAGTCCTACATCCAAAGGTAGGGTAGCTATGTGTCCTCTTACACCTGCATCACAAGGTGTCTTCTACTTGAAGGGCTACCCAATCAAAGAAAAAACAAGAATGGTTTCCCAGCAACAGTTGGCACCTGAGCAGCAGACGGAACAGGCAGGAAGAGAAGCTACTTGGTCACTGTCTTCTGCACTATGGTGAGATGAATGCATCTCTATTTAAGGACATAAACACATAAATTATGTCTAAGTGTGCATACGTACATAAAATTAGTAAGGGTCTTAAGGGAGGGGAGTCATCAGAAAAGAAGACCATCTAGTCCAACAACCTTTTTACCCAGTAGCCAATCAAATGCTTGCAGGACCAGTGGAGTGTGATGGCAAGAGGCCTCCTTTGACACCTCCTGCCCCGGCAACTGGGAAGAGAAACCTCTCTATGATTTTGCCTCCTGTACATCAGCCAGTAGCTTTCAGCATATCAAACATTAGCAGCACCCACATTACCTTTCTCAGCACATTAACTTACTGCTATCTCACCCCAGATACATTAGCCAACCTCCTGGAACTGTTTGAGAGTTAATGTTTTATCCTTTGATGACCAGTCCTTTTGCTTCCACATTGTCTCCAAAGTAAAAAGGTTCTTTGAGGGAAAGAAACAACCAGAGAACTTGCTCAGATTGAAAATTTTCTAGCATCACTACCGCTGGATGCTCCTTGAAACACTGAAAATGGAGATCGCTTTCAAGAAGAAATATGCCTACAATACTGGGGAGCCCCTGCTCTGACTTTCTTCTTGGGTACACGTAATGAGCTAATGGTTATTTGAATCGCATATTAACTGGCATTTATTTTATTTCATGGGCATTTTATTATCAAAAATCACAATAAAAATAATGTCAATCAACCAAACAACCTGTATTTGGGGTGGAATTCTAGGTGGGCTCCACCTGTCCAATCAGTTCAGAGAATGGGCCCAACGTGTCTTGTTGTTACTTTAGGGGTCCACAGTTCAACCCTTTCCTTGCATTTCTTGGAATGCAACACAAGTACTTAGAAAAGTGCAGTTCAGATTTTGAAATGTAACTATAAAAATGTGGTGTGTGCACACGCATGCTCACACTCACACTCACCCTCTTTCATGCCAAATTCAGAATGTATCATAGGCCATTGGGCCATTGATGGAGAGCATCAATTAATTGTAGACCAGTCCTGTGCAGTTTAGACAGGCGAAAGGCCCACAGCCCTTCTGCAGGGCCTTTTCTGTCTTGGCTTGTGCAGATCATGTCTGAATCGCTTTGAGGAAAGGCGGGAACTTCTGCCTAAGCACTGCTCTGGCTCTCTCATTCCAGTGGGACCTGGTGTGCGAGCACAGACGGATGAACCAAGCCGCAGCCACCATCTTTTTCATTGGAGTCATGCTTGGGGCTGTGATCTTTGGCTCGCTCTCCGACAGGTAACTCGCAACCCATCACAAGTCCCATGAGCGCCATTGGGTGGGGTCCGCATCTCATTTGGGCTGTTGCACATTGGTATAGAGGACTCTTTTGGCTTCAGATTTTGCGACAGCTGGCTGGGCTTGTTGCTCTGTTTTTTTGTTTTTTTACATTTCATATTGGATGAGGGAGACGTTGTTGTATGTGCATTAACACTCCTATGTTCACACTGAGAATCACTGAGATCTCTACCCTGACTCACCTCTTGTTCATTCAAGGTTTCAATCTGCATTTATTCTGCAGAGCAGGGGTGGATAACTGCTGGCGTCTACCCATGTGTTTAAAAGTAAAAGTATAATAAAATATTATTTTTCAAATGGTGTCTATAGTAGAGCACTCTTAAGGCCAAAATTACCTTCTCTGCAAGCTCACTTTGAAATGTTCAGAGCCTCACAGTGGTTCTGGGCAACTAAAAAAGTTAATTTTAGTTTTCTGACAATTTAATTTTGACACAGGGGGCACTTTGTAGCTGCTCCAGATGCCATTCATTCCTGAAAATTATGTGTTTTGGAGGTGTCCTGGGGCCACATGTAACCGGAAATCGATGGCCTAAGGGCGTCGTCGCCATTTGGGGCCATTCGGGGCCGTGCGGGAGCTGGGCTGGCCTTAGACGCTGTTGGGTGGGCCTCAGTAGTCGGGTGGTTGTGGGGTTTTATTGTTTTTAATTGTATTTTAATCTAGATTTTACTTTGTATGTTTTAATGGATTCACACCTGGCTGCTTCCATGGGGTTGCCTGAGGAGCGCGTGGGCATTGGGGTGATTGTGGGCAAAGGTCGTTATGGCGTTGTGGGTTTAACGTGTTGGTATAAAAGAAGGAGGGACAGATGGTTGACACCTGTTCCTCCTTCTGGTTATTCCCCCAGCCGGAAGGTTCCGAGCATGCTTATCAACCGTCCCGCTGGCCTGATGGTGCTGTTACTTAATGCCAGGTTGGTCCATAATAAAACATCCCTCATCCATGACCTAACTGTGGATGAGGGGGCCAACCTGGCTTGCATCACAGAGACCTGGGTGGGAGAGGGCGGGGATGTGTCCCTCTCTCAACTGAGTCTGCCTGGGTATCTGGTCCAGTACTGGTCACGCCTGAAGGGGAGGGGAGGGGGGGGTCGCTTTAGTTCATTGGGCTTCCTGTTCTCTAGAGACCAGGTCTAGAGTGCTTTACCTGGTGCTGGGCGACCGAGACAGATTGGGGATTCTGCTGGTGTACCGTGCACCTTCTGCCCATCAGAGTCCCTGCCTGAGCTGATGGAGATCGTCTCGGACCTGGTGTTGAAGACTCCCAGGATGCTGGTCCTGGGGGACTTCAATCTCCATGCCGAGACTGGTCTGACCGGGGTGGCTCAGGACTTCATGGCCTCCATGACGGCTATGGGGCTGTCTCAACATGTCATCGGCCTGACCCATGAACATGGACACACGCTGGACCTGGTTTTCTCAATGGGGCAGGAAGAGGGTGATCTGAGGGTGAGCAATCTATGTTTGGCTCCCCTGTCATGGTCAGACCACTTCCTCGTGAGGTTCGAGCTCGATGGCAGCCCTTGCCTCTGTAAGAGTGCAGACCCTATTGTCTTGGTCCTCCCTCAGGGCTGGATGGATCCGGATGGATTCCTGAAAGCTCTGGGGGAGTTTCCAGATGATAAAGCTGGCGCTCCTGTTGATGCTCTGGTTGAACTATGGAATGGGGAAATGGCCAGAGCTATTGACACGATCGCTCCTAAGCATCCTCTCCCACTTGGCAGAGCCCGTTCATCCCCTTGGTATACACCTGAATTACGGGCGATGAAGCGGGTTGGGAGATGGCAAGAGCGTAGGTGAAGCAAATCTCGGAATGAATCTGACCAAACACACTTAAGAGCTCATTATCGAGCCTATGCTGTCGCGGTGAGGGCGAAGAAGAATTCTTCTTCACTTCCATTGCCTTCTCACAGTGCCATCCAGCGGAGCTTTTTTGGGTGGTACAGGGGCTGGTACATCCAGGCCCTAAGAAAGATCCTGTACCACCCTCGATAACCCGCTGTGATGACTTTGCCCAGCACTTCAAGGAGAAAATTGCTCAGATTCATCACGAGCTGGACTCCACTAGTGATTCAGATTCCATAGGGGAGGTGCCAATTTTACCGTCTGGTCACATATTGTTGGATGAGTTTCAGTTATTGCGGCCTAATGATGTGGACAAGGTGCTTGGACAAGTATGTCCCACCACCTGTTTACTTGACCCTTGCCCGTCGTGGCTACTGTCCAAAGCCAAACACGGGATTGGTGCCTGGATCCTGGAGGTCATCAAAGCCTCTCTGAGGGATGGCCGGATGCCTGCCTTTCTAAAGGAGGTGATGTTAGGCCAGTCCTAAAGAAGGAGTCCCTGGATCCAGAGATGGCCTCCAATTATAGACCGGTGGCCAACATCCCATTCTTGGGCAAGGTGTTGGAACGGGTGGTGGCAGGACAACTTCAAGCTCTCTTGGATGAGACTGATTATCTGGACCCATTTCAGTCCGGCTTCAGACCCGGGTATGGTACTGAATCTGCCTTGGTCGCCCTGTACGATGACCTGTGCAGGG